ATATATATACATACACACATATATATATATACACACACTGTTATATCCAGTAGTACTTCCCTATTTGTGTCTGTATAAGATAAATTTGAAAGGAAAAGGTAATTACACCCTTTCTTTCCGTAATTTTCCCATTCCAGCTTTGCACCACTTGGCAACCATTGCCATTAAGCATTACTGAAATCTTACCACTCCATATAGTGATCAACTTTCCAGGAAAAAAACTTGAAAGTCTGCACGTCTATAACTGTTAGAGGTCACTATCAATGATTATGGTCAACAGGAATGAAAGGAAATGGACAGTTTAGCTATAGGAAATGAAATCCATTGAGAGCGTTTCCTTTTCTTCTTGCCTATAACTAGCTCAGCCAGCTGGCATATTAATGTGAGGTTCTGGGACCTGATACTGTGATGTTATTTTAAGATTCTTTAGCACAGCCAAGAAACCTCACCAGACAATCCAAAAGTTAGTTTGAAATACTGTAGTGTAATTCAATACAATTTATGTATACTATAGCCTTTACAATTTGGCAATAATATTCTGTGGTATTTGTAATATGAGTATATTTACTTCAAATGAATTTTTTTTTTTAATTCTTAGTATAAAAACACAAAGCCCCCCAAACTTTAATAATTGTCAACTCCACAGTACAAATGAAGAATGTAGCTTCTACAATGGGCAGATGAATAAAGCAAGTTAAACCATGTGCAAAACTTGTATGCTGACAGAACTGGAGCTACTGTCTGACACCTGAATGGCAGCATCAGTAAACCCAAAGCAGGCAAACAGTCTGTCCTCCTCACGTAGCCTCACAAAATCCTTGTAGCAGTGCTATACCACTCAGCATAAGACAAAGCAGAATTAGCCCTTGAACAGACAAATTGATATTTACAATACCTATGTGTAAAGCAAAGTCTCCTGTTCTGCAAAACTGAAGTGCTAGACATCAGCCTTTAACGTGTGCAATAATCAACCAAGATTAAGTAGATTTAAGGATGAAGAGCTGAAATTAAGTAAATACAATGCTTGTTCGTTAGAACTGACTATACCACACAAACTTTGTTGTACAAACCTAGAAGGACAGGGATCCATGTTGCATTCTTTTAGCTTGGGCTTTGGTTTCTTATTTTCTGGATGGTAGTGACAATAGTGGTCAGGAACAACACGCTTCAGACGAATATCCATGCATTCAGCTGAATTAAGCTGATAACCTAAGGCAGGAGCAAAGTTAAATATCGGTAACAGCAACAAATTAAAGCAGCCTTATTCCTCCCTCACCCCTCTCAAACAATGTGCTGCCCATTCACTATCAATTTCCTGCGTTACTCTTCTTTGGTTTACTTTTAAACAAGGAAACACTGCACAGGAACACGCAGGACCAGATCTTCATTTAAAGCAATTCAGTATAACTATTATGTTTACCTATCTTAACACTAGACAAGGCTCTGGCACATTATTCTAATAATATCCTAAGTATAAGAGTAAAAGCATACATATTTTTATGTGATGCAGGAATACATGTACTGGAACAGCTCACCTGTCACAAGAGGCAACCCTACAAAGTCATATGGTTCTCCTACACGTTCCACAATTTATAACTGCCCCCCCCCCAGAAGGATTTACCACGTATGTTATAGAGCTATATTACACAGTCATGCATGTTAAAAAAATAAATAAATACTTAAAACAAAGCCAGAGGAATTGAAGATGTGATCCAAAAACATTGCGAAGTTAAACCGGAGAAAACCAAGAAATACTTTCAAGAACATTCCTAGTTGAAGAGCCAGTAAAAGAAAACTTGAAGTAAGTACTTGGTGAAAAAACCAAAAAGAAGTCTGTGTGGAGACTGGTTACAAGAAAGGATCTGAGTTTTATAAACCACTAAGTTGCTTTTTTGGCTAAGAAAAAAGACTCATTCAAAAGAGCTGACTTGGACTTAAACTGAAGAGAGGAGGAGGATGTTCTGGTATGTGCAAAGGAAAAAAAGTTTAAAACCACAAGAATTAAAATCCAAACAGAGTCAATAAACTAACAGCACAAGTCCCAGTGTCTACTGAAAATGCTAAGTATCATATATCAATGGCTTTGCTTGTGTGTCTCTTGGCTGATTCAAAGTGTCATCATGCATGAGAGGGATAACCATAAAGAGGAACTAAGCAGTTCCAGTGCTGAAAGCATGTACGTTCCAGTTCTTGTAAGTACTGAAAGGACCCAGAAAATACGCCACTTGCAAACAAGATAAAGTTAATTTTCAGACATTCTTGCTCATTCAAGCTTGACAGTACTTTCCGAGATGCCCATCACCCTTCCCCTTCCAACACATGGAGATTACAGAATTAAATGTAGGAGAAGCATCCAAGTGAGGAATGGTGGTGCACTGAGTCCAAGTCTCTGTTGTGAGGAACTTTTTCTTTTATTGCCGGTAAAAGATGCCAAACAGACAATCTGGACACTAACTCTGCTTCAAGGTAACAGGTTAAAGCCAGGCAGCTGCAATACAACTTCCCCACATGCCTCAGTAATATGCCATTCTTAACACTACTGATTTCATGGGTAAGCAAGTAGCTCAGTTTCTGTGCTGTTTCAGTTACTAGCCTCCCTCAGGACTGCCATCAAGAGTGTCAAATCCTGTTTATAAAGGTCATTTTCAGATTACAGACATGCAGCTACAAAGCAGGGCACTGAAAACCCTGGCTGATTTCAAAGAGATTGACATGTAGCTATAATTTTCAAACCATAACACCAGTCTGCATAAGGCTGGATTTGAGCCAATGAACTTGAAGGTAGATATGTCCCTTGAGTTATTCAGTGTTTACCTGCAGTCCTCAAAAATAACTGTGATGTTTTACACTTCTTCGCCTGTCAGATGAGTTAGGAAAAAATTCATAAACACAGTGTGGTGGAATCATCAGAGGACACGTATTGCCACTCACACTTGCAGCAAGAATCACACTTCACGAGACCAAGTATCTTATAAGATACAGTAGTTTCCTGTGGGACTAGATATTACACACATATACTGTCTGCATTTCAGATTAAAGTGAGGTGCAAGTGGTTCATCAAAGGATCCCAAGACTCCACTTGTGCTTTAAACATCTTTCACTCATGTCCCAAGTAACTATTTAAACCATATTTGCACTCTCCAAAAAACCCACTACAACAGGATCACTAGTACCCCAGTCTGGTTTTGCAGGTGACCTTGGCAATGCTAGCTGAACTGAAACAGCTATCTACAATGTCAAGCACTTCTTCTGCCATAAGGTTATGGTTTTTTGCAGAACCAGACATGACAGGCAGTGGGCTGGGCTGGGCTGGATGAGCAGGAGCAGAGTCATGCTGCACTTCATCTAATCATTGTATAAACTGTAGCGTTTAAACCAGGAGTAGATGCCATGTGCACACGCTATGTGCTGTTCACCATCAGTTCTAGAGTGTTTAAGATCAGAGAGTCAAAGGTATTGATAGTAGTTATTCTTTAAGTTTTATTTACTTATTCTTCTTTCTGTGTAACTGATTTCTAAACTAAGTGTTCTAAAACTCTCCCTCATGTCTATCAGTGTGGCCAGAAATAGCTTCTTCATCCATTTCTTGATTATCCTTATTTTGAAATCTCACTATATTTCTTTGCTTACTTTCCTAAAATATCCTTTATGAATTGTCATTTTCCATTTTGAATGTCATATCATAGAATCATAGACTAGTTTGGGTTGGAAGGGACCTTTAAAGATCATCTAGTTCCAACCACCCTGCCATGGGCAGGGACATCTTCCACTAGACCAGGTTGCTCAAAGCCCCATCCTGGTCCTGAACACTTCCAGGGACAGGGCAGCCACAACTTCTCTGGGAAACCTGTTCTTGTGCCTCATCACCCTCACAGTAAGGAACTTCTTCCTAATATCTAATCTAAATCTTCCCTCTTTCAATTTAGAGCCATTGCCCCTTGTCCTATTACTATGTGCCCTTGTAAAAAGTCCCTTCTCTCCATGGACATAATTTAGTTTTCTGCTTTAACATGTCCCAGGACACATGGTTGCTCTAATTTACCCTTTTGGTTTCTCAAACTCCTCCTTTATTTGAACATGAACACTGACAGGTTTGGGGAACTGATTTCTAAACTAAGTGTTCTAAAACTCTCCCTCATGTCTATCAGTGTGGCCAGAAATAGCTTCTTCATCCATTTCTTGATTATCCTTATTTTGAAATCTCACTATATTTCTTTGCTTACTTTCCTAAAATATCCTTTATGAATTGTCATTTTCCATTTTGAATGTCATATCATAGAATCATAGACTAGTTTGGGTTGGAAGGGACCTTTAAAGATCATCTAGTTCCAACCACCCTGCCATGGGCAGGGACATCTTCCACTAGACCAGGTTGCTCAAAGCCCCATCCTGGTCCTGAACACTTCCAGGGACAGGGCAGCCACAACTTCTCTGGGAAACCTGTTCAAAGTTCTTACTCAAATGATCACCCCTTATGGAAGAACAAGACTTCCAATAATATAAGGTATAAGAAACCCTAAGCACATACTAACTTAACCAACCAACCACTGGTGCGCAAAGAAACACAAAAATCTAATCAATAAAAATGCAGAACAAAGGTTGACAATCTTCCACTTTTAATCTTCAGATTTAAACACTCATGAAGAACTGCCATTACTTACCTCCTCCACATGTCACTGTGCATGGGAAGAACTCTGTTTGTCTCCACTGATGACTGATGGGTTGATAGAAGAAGAACTGAACCACACTATCTTTTGATCCAGAGTACCTGGTCTGAAGAAATTTCCATTACAACACATGTGTATACTGTACTGTTCATGTAATCTCAAAACATAATTCATATATAATAGCAGTGCAAAGAGTAATATGGTAACAGGCATAAAACCTCTAGAAAGTCCACAGTGACAATTAAATTTTAGTTTCCAATACTTACATGTTGCTTTGTTTTACGAATTATTATCTTGAATGTGACTTTGATTATCAAACCTTGATTGGCAAAGTTCCTAACTGTATTCTTCTGTCTTATCTCTTTCTTGGCAAAACCTTGGGCGACATAGTTTAGTGTGTGGTGTCCCTGCTCATGGCAGGGGGGGTGGGACTAGATGATCTTAAGGTCCTTTTCAACCCTAATTGTTCTATGATTCTATAAAACTTTTAGAATTTGCTGGAGCAGGGAGTCTACAATTGATCTAAGCACACCAGCTCAGATTCAGGAAAGTCTAACTGCATCTGTGATTTTGGTGATGCAAACTGAAAACTACTGAAAGTCTATTTCTGCAACGTGACAGAGGAAGCCAAGTGGTGTGATAATACTGAAACACCTTTCCTATGGAAAACTGCATAACTATCTTCCTTTGGCAATCGAGCCTTGTATTTTTCTACATGTAGATATCTGCATGTATGATGTAAGCCATCAGTGTGTGGTCTGGGTAGAAGAGAAACTTAGATTAGAAATGGTCAGTAGCTGGATTAGCAAAGGCTAATGCTGATTCCACAGGGTGCTGCATGGAAGTAATTCTCAGATTCAGTAGGTGGCAGTCTTCAATTGGATTAACACCAATCCACTGCATAGGATCACATTGATATTCTCCCAGTAATTAAAACAAAACTCCTGGCCGTTTTTACCGTTCTGGTACTTTCCACCACAGAAAAGACATTAACCTTGTAACATTTTAATTTGGCTGGATATACTTAGTATAAATTACCTATGGACTGTAATTAGGATTCCTTATTTGCTAGCTGAAAGATTTTGTACTGCTACAAGCTGATGGAGTCACCTACTCTTTGCACACACTTGAAGTACCTTTGTAGATTTGTACATACACACATCCCACCTTGATAATGAAATCCGCTCCAAGCGGTCCCTGGATCTTTATGATTTCCCTGTCTGTACTCTTCTGAAACTCAACGGTTGTATTTTCTATGATAAATGTTCCAGGAGCATCAAAACTGTGCTCTCCCTTGTCTCCTTGCAGGGTCTTTGACTCTATAACTAAAGAAGAAACATGCAATTAGTAAACTTAAAAGGGATATTTTTTATTTTCAAGGAAGTCATAAAATAATGTTTACAACTTTGCCTTGCAAGTAACAGCCATACGTGTGCATTAAAAAACCACACTGAGTATCTGTGAATATTAGCTGCTTCAGATTATAGGCTAATACATAATTGCAGGACTTGTCAGCACAGGAATATCTGCCTGAACACACTATTGTTTCATGCCAGCAGCACTTCTGAGACAGTTTTTCCTACACCAAGTGCTCTATATATTTATAAAGCAATAGATTCAGCA